CGGGAGATTCTGGGGGCAGGGAGACGTCGGAGACAAAGAATGGGGAGGTTGGTAGCCCAGGGGGCTACTTGTCGGGGTGGGAGGTGTAAAGGGCTTGTGGGCATGTGGATCCATGCTGTGCGTCACACTCTACACACCAACAAACCCTTGATCCTTCCGATACTACCCCCCCAGAGACCCACGAGCTGTCCAGCCTGTCCGTCTCCTCCATGGCGCACAGGGGACTGCAGAGTCCCTCTGACTGGGGTCTGAGCTGCGCTGATGCCCTGTGCAGCAGACCAACAACCTGCCACATTTGGTTCTTCATGTGCATGGAAGCTGCCTCACTTCTGGGCAGCCCTTGGGGACTCCCAGTGACTCGGGAGAGTCTGGGGGCAGGGAGACATCGGAGACAAAGAATGGGGAGGTTTGTATAAAGTGGCAGCAAGAAATGACTCTTGGGAAAGGGGGAGTCTATACAGGAAGGATGGGCTCCACCTAAACCAGATTGGAACCAGATTGCTGCCGCTTGAAATTAAAAAGCTCGTTGAGCAGTTTTAAAACTAAGGGCTGGGGGAAAGCCGAGAGGTGCGGAGGAGCACGTGGTTGGGACAGAGACATCCCTTAGGGCAGGATCTACTAATGGAGATTGTCTATGTCCTAGTAAGGAGGAGAGGATGGAAGATGATAAAGTACAGGTAGGATCAGATGAGAAACAGTCAAATGAAAAAAAGTCTCATTTAATTACGTCATGCAACGGGAGACAGCTAAAAAGCGACACATTTTAAAAGTGCTTATCTACCAATAATAAGATGGGTGAACTAGAGCGCCTCCTATTAAATGAGGCTATTGATATAACAGGCATCACAGAAACCTGGTGGAATGAGGACAATCACTGGGACACAGTAATACCAGGGTACAAAATACATCGGAAGGACAGAACAGGTCATGCTGGTGGGGGGTGGCACTGTATGTGAAAGAAATCAAATGAATCCAATGAAGTAAAAATCTTAAATGAACCAAACTGTGCCATAGAATCTCTCTGGCTAGTAATTCCGTGCTCGAATAATAAGGATATACCAGTAGGGATATATTACCGACCACCTGACCAGGATGGTGATAGTGACTGTGAAATACTCAGGGAGATTAGAGAGGCTATTAAAATAAAAAACTCAATCATAATCGAGGATTTCAACTATCCCATATTGACTGGGTTCATGTCACCTCAGGACGGGATGCAGAGAGAAAGTTTCTTGACACCTTAAATGACGGCTTCTTGGAGCAGCTAGTCCTGGAACCCACCAGAGGAGAGGGAATTCTTGATTCAGTCCTAAGTGGAGCACAGGATCAGGTCCAAGAGGTGACTATAGCTGGACCGCTTGGTAGTAGTGACCATAATATAATTAAATTTAACATCCCTGTGGCGGGGAAAACACCACAGCAGCCCAACACTGTAGCATTTGGTTTCAGAGAGGGGAACGACACAAAAACGAGGAGGTTAGTTAAACAGAAATTAAAGGGTACAGCACCAAAAGTAAAATCCCTGCAAGCTGCATGGAAACTTTTTAAAGACACCATAATAGAGGCTCAACTGAAATGTATACCCCAAATTAAAAAACAAAGTAAGAGAACCGAAAAGAGCCACCATGGCGAAACAACAAAGTAAGAGAAGCAGTGAGAGGCAAAAGAGGCATCCTACGAAGAGTGGAAATTAAATCCTAGTGAGGAAAATAGAAAGGAGCATGAACTCTGGCAAATGAAGTATAAAAATACAATTAGGAAGGCCAAAATAGAATTTGAGGAACAGCTAGCCAAAGACTCAAAAAGTAATAGCAAACATTTTTTTAATGACATCAGAAGCAGGAAGCCTGCTAAACAACCAGTGGGGCAACTGAACGATCAAGGTGCTAAAGGAGCACTCAAGGACGATAAGGCCATTGTGGAGAAACTAAATGAATTCTTTGCATCAGTCTTCACGGCTGAGGATTTGAGGGAGATTCCTAAACCTGAGCCACTCTTTTTAGGTGACAAATCTGAGGAACTGTCCCAGACTGAGGTGTCATCAGAGGAGGTTTTGGAACAAATTGATAAATTAAAGAGTAATAAGTCACCAGGACCAGGTGGGATTCACCCAAGAGTTCTGAAGGAACTCAAATGTGAAATTGCAGGACTACTAACTGTAGTCTCTAACCTATCATGTCAATCAGCTTCTGTGCCAAATGGCTGGAGGTTAGTTAATGTGGGGCCAATTTTTTAAAAGGGCTCCAGAGGTGACCCCGGCAATTACAGGCCAGTAAGCCTGACTTCAGTACCTGGCAAACTGGTTGAAACTATAGTAAAGAACAAAATTGTCAGACACAGAGATGAACATAATTTCTTGGGAAGAGTCAACATAGTTTTTTAAAGGGAAATCATGCCTCACCAATCTACTAGAACTCTTTGAGGGGGTCAACAAGCATTTGGACAAGGGGGATCCAGTGGATATAGTGTACTTAGATTGTCAGAAAACCTTTGACAAGGTCCCTCGCCAAAGGCTATTAAGCAAAGTAAGCAGTCATGGGATAAGAGAGAAGGTTCTCTCATGGATTGGTAACTGGTTAAAAGATAGGAAACAAAGGGTAGGAGTAAATGGTCAGTTTTCAGAATGGAGAGAGGTGAACAGTGGTGTCCCCCAGGGGTCTGTACTGGGGCCAGTCCTATTCAACATGTTCATAAATGACCTGGGAAAAGGGATAAACAGTGAGGTGGCAAAATTTGCAGATGATACAAAAACTACTCAAGATAGTTAAATCCCAGGCAGACTGTGAAGAGCTACAAAAGAATCTCACAAAACTGGGTGACTTGGCAACAAAATGGCAGATGAAATTCAACGTTGACAAATGCAAAGCAATGCACATTGGAAAACATCATCCCCACTATACATATAAAATGATGGGTCTAAATTAGCTGTTAGCACTCAAGAAAGAGAGCTTGGAGTCATTGTGGAGAGTTCTCTGAAAACATCCACTCAGTGTGCAGTGGCCGTCAAAACAGCAAACAGAATGTTGGGAATCATTAGGAAAGGGATAGATAATAAGACAGAAAATACCATGTTGCCTCTACATATATCCATGGTACACCCACATCTTGAATACTGCGTGCAGATGTGGTCGCCCCATCTCAAAAAAGATATATTGGACTTGGAAAAGGTTCAGAAAAGGGCAACAAAAATTATTAGGGGTATGGAGCGTCTGCCATATGAGGAGAGATTAATGAGACTGGAACTTTTCAGCTTGGAAAAAAGACAACTAAGGGGGGATATGATAGAGGTCTATAAAATCAAAACTGGCGTGGAGAAAGTACATAAGGAAGTGTTATATACTCCTTCTCATAACACAAGAACTAGGGGTCACCAAATGAAATTAATAGGCAGCAGGTTTAAAACAAACAAAAGGAAGTATTTTTTCACACAAGACACAGTCAACCTGTGGAACTCCTTGCCAGAGAATGTTGTGAAGGCCAAGACGATAACAAGGTTCAAAAAAGAATGAGATAAATTCATGGAAGATAGGTCATGGAGGATAGGAGGATGTACAGAGATGGTGTCCCTAGCCTGTGTTTGCCAGAAGCTGGGAAATGGTGACAGGGAGTGGATCACTTGATGATTCCCTGTTCTGTTCATTCCTTCTGGGGCACCTGGCATTGGTCACTGTTGGCAGACAGAATACTGGGCTAGATGGACCTTTGGTCTGACCAGTGTGCCTGTTCTTATGTTCTCATGACTCAGGGACCCGGTTTTGATTCTCAGACTGAGATGTTTCAGAGTAACAGCCGTGTTAGTCTGTATTCGCAAAAAGAAAAGGAGGACTTGTGGCACCTTAGAGACTAACCAATTTATTTGAGCATGAGCTTTCGTGAGCTACAGCTCACTTCATCGGATGCATACTGTGGAAACTGCAGAAGACATTATATACACAGAGACCATGAAACAATCTCCTGCTATTACCAGCAGGAGAGTGGGGTGGGAGGAGGTATTGTTTCATGGTCTCTGTGTATATAATGTCTTCTGCAGTTTCCACAGAAGCAGGGCCCGGTGCACGCAGACAGTTACCCGGTTCCCAGCTGCTCCTGCGTTTGGGAGCAGAGAAGGGAACATCCCACCGCTTCCCCCGCAGCAGCACTGGGGCCATGTGGTGTCCCACTGTGCCATAGCCCACAGCGACCCCGCACCCCTCCCGATCCCCGCTGCAGAGACCTGTACGCTGAACCCAGCTACGATCTCCGTGGTGCACAGGGGGCGGAGGGGTCCCGCCGCGTGGGTCTGTGCTGCCTTCCTGCCCCATGCAGCATAGCCACCGCTTGTCCCGCTCCTCTGGATCCCAGCAGACCTCTCTGCTGCCTTCGTTCGGGGCTGCCCCGAGGGAGCTCTGCCTGTGCCCATTAACATATAGACACGGGGCTACTGGCTGCACGCTGGTGCCACGTGGCCACTTCCCCTCCCTCCTGGCCCAGATCGAATTTCCCAGCTGCTCTTACCAACAGACTGGCAGGGGCTTGAATGGTAAAGGGGCTGGCAGTGCGCGAGGGACAGGGCACACGGCCCCTGGAGTATGCTGGTTTCTGGTGCTGGACAGCAAAGATGAATGTGACGGGGACGCAAGGTGGCGGTTCTCAGCAACCTGCAGAGCCCCAGACGCACCTGAAGTAACTAATCTGCCTTCCTCTGCAGGTGCGTCAAGATTTACAAAGGCTTACGCTGAATTCACCCATGTATGTCAGGGCAGTTTAACCTTTCCCCACGAATATTTATTGCAGTCCCGAAAGGGTATTTGATACAGACACATTCTTGTCTGACTTACAACTTACAAGGGAATGACGATTTGCTGTATTAGTTTGTAGAATCAGTGACCATTTCAACAGGGATTTCATAATCCAAGTGGAGAACCCAACCTCTTGTCTATATATATGAGATCTCCTCCCTTGGGCTGCATTGAGAGAGCATCTGCAGAGCTCAGCACTAACAGACTCCAGCAGACCCACGAACCACTTCCACCATGAAGACAGCAGCTGCCATTTTATTCCTCACTCTGGGGCTCTTCTCCAGCTTTCAGGGTGAGTAACTTTTGCTGCAGCCTGTACAGAGCTCTGTGTCTGACCCTCTAACCTTCGTCACGGGCTCGACTGTTAAAAACTAGCTTGGCACGAGCTAAGGACATTTGGGTGTTGAGACTAAGCCGGGGAAGTGGTTCATGGCAGAAACAGCAATTTCCTTTGGAAAGATGTAACTGAGGGGCCATTAAGGGCCTTTCCCCAAATTCCAGTCTGGGAGCTTCAAACAATCGCACCTGCAATTAGTTGTGTGCCCCGGTGATGATATTTCAGGGCAGGCTGTGGGTGCATTATGCTCATGTTTCTATTTGTCACACCAATTGGATGAGGGAGCAGAAAACCTTCCCATGGCCCAGTTGCTGGTTAGAAAGCTGCATCCATTTTCCTAGGCAGAAATAAATGTTATTAACTGATTTCCCTCTGACATTCCCTTCGTGGTATGGTTTGTGTCTGTGTTTTCTTCCAGATGCTGTCGGCCAGGGTCATCGGGTGAGTCTAACTCTCACTTTGAATGAATTGTCACTTGCCCCGATACGTGGTATGTAGTATCATGGAGACCAGGACCGCTGGGTTAGAAACACGCTGGAACTCATGAGGCAATGTGGGAGCAGACTGTACCCCAGGCCCTAGTGAGGGGAGAGCGAATCCGTGGGGCGGAGACTACATGTGGTCAGAGTGCTGGATTCCATACACTATTCCACAGGACACCATCTGTGATGGGCCTGTGGGAGTCTCAAAAAGCAACTCAGAGACAGAACGGGGAGGGGATGGTATAACAAGTGCATAAGGCTTTTTATATTTGAGCATCTGCTTCCTGCGGAGATGCCCCTTCGCTCACACACCTTATGGTGCAGGTTCGGAAGAGTCTCGTGGACCAGGGAGATGGGCTCAGCTCCTTCAGGCAGTGAGAGGAGAATTTGGAAGTCAGAACCACTGTAGAAAGAGACAAGGGACAGGATAAGATAGTGCGGTGGTGGCGGGGTGTGTGTGTGACTGTCCCTTCCTCTGTGTTCATAGTATGCCCAGCACCATGGGAATGTCAGGGTACTACTCCAATACAGACAATAACACTGATATTCATTTCACTTGTAGGGTTTCTGCAGTGAGTACCAGAGTCGTCCAACTTTCTGCACCTTGGAGTACAACCCGATCTGTGGCACTGATGGCAAGACATACGGCAACAAATGTGCCTTTTGTAGTGCAGTCTTGTAAGTAGATAGGATGAAATTCAATAAGGACAATGCAAAGTGCTCCACTGAGGAAGGAACAATCCGTTGCACACACACACAATGGGAAATGACTGCCTAGGAAGGAGTCCTGCGGAAAGGGATCTGGGGGTCAGAGTGGATCACAAGAGAAATATGAGTCAACAGTGTAACACTGTTGCAGAAAAAGCAAACATCATTCCGGGATGTATTAGCAAGAGTGTTGTACGCAAAACATGAGAAGCAATTCTTCTGCTCTACTCTGCACTGATTAGGCCTCAACTGGAGTGCTGTGTCCAGTTCTGGATGCCACTTTTCAGGGGAAATGTGGAGAAATTGGAGGAAGTCCAGAAAAGAGCAAGAAAAATGATGAAAGGCCTAGAAAACATAACCTATGAGGGAAGCTTGAAAAAATTGGGTTTGTTTAGTCTGGAGAAGAGAAGACTGAGAGGGGACATGATAACAGTTTTCGAGTACATAAAAGGTTGTTACAAGCAGGAGGGAGAAAAGTTGTTTTAATTAACCTCTGAGGATAGGACAAGAAGCAATGGGCTTCAATTGCAGCAAGGGCAGTAGTTAAGCACTGGAATAAATTGCATGGGGAGGTGGTGGAATCTCCATCATTGGAGATTTTTAAGAGCAGGTTAGACAAACATCTGTCATGGATGGTCTAGATCAGTGGTTCGCAACCTGCATGCAGCCCATCAGGGTAATCTGATTGTGGGCTGCGAGACATTGTGCTGACCTTGACTGTCTGCAGGCACGGCCCCCCACAGCTCCCAGTGCCCTCAGTTTGCCGATCCCGGCCAATGGGAGCTGCGGGAAGTGGCAGGCAGCACATTCCTGCGGCCCACCACTTCCCGCATTGGCCGGGAATGGCAAACCACAGCCACTGGGAGCTGGGGGGGGGGGGGGGCCGTGCCTGCAGACAGTCAACATCAGCACAATGTCTCACGGCCCTCAATCAGATTACCCTGATGGGCTGCATGCAGGTTGCGGGCTGCATGCAGGCTGCAGGTTGCCCACCACTGGTCTTGATCAGGAGTGCTGGGGACTGGACTAGATAAGCTCTCAAGGTCCCTTCCAGTCCTACGATTCTATGATTCTAAAGAAATAAATAGCCCATTAATAAAAAAAAAAAACATAATTGTGGAGTGATTCAAGCCCCTGCCTGCGCCCATATCTTTACCTCCTAGATGTTGGGTCAACTTCCTCAGTCTAATTTTTCCTTTCAGCAAATAAACTCTGGTTAATTTGACATAATGGGGCCTTGACAGAAGCTTTGCTCTCATTGCCATAGGGGTTGCAAGCCTGAGTTCTGTGTCTCTTACTTTCCCCCTAGTGAAAACCTTGGAAATCTTTGCTTTGACCAGTATGGAGAATGCTGAATCCTCAGGGGTGCTGAGTGCTGATATGGAGCTGAACCCCATTTGCTTCTAGTTCCCACCAGCAGATCCCCACATGGAGCCATGTTCTCGACTCATCCTCCATTTCCAGGGCTCCTGACAGCATCACTGACTATCCCCTCTTCTGTGCAATAAAGTAAACTCAGCAGAATTCGTGACCTATGTTTTTTTTCTCTTTCCAAGGAGGGACTCTGCTCTCCCGTGTCTCACACAAGCCCCCACCAGCTTACAGACCGGAGTTAATGAGAACACAAAGTGCAGTAACCAGTCACAGGCATTAAAGGAGCCACAGATTGGCAATTATTATATCACCTCCTGCCATGGCTTTTCCTACTAGAGATATCGATACACAAACCCCAGACACATTCCCTGTATCGGACTCCCTTCCAACTCTGAGCATTCTCCTTGGATCAAATCATGAGACCATGAGCAAAGCCCCAGTAAAAGGTGCATAAAAAGGTGATGGCCGCGGGTTGGAGAGCTAAGGGGGGTGCCATTGAGTAGACCCCAGAGGGAGCAGAGATGCAGGGATTCAGTTAACCCCAGAAATGTGACACGGCCCACGTCACAGAGCCATGGATTCATAGAGCGTAAGGCCATTACATCATCTAGTCTGACTTGCTGTATAATGCAGGTCTTACATTTCACCATTATCCCTGTGCCGGGCCCAGCAATGCAGCTTCCAGAAAGTCACCCAGACTGGGTCTCCAGAGATGGTGAATCCACCATTTTTTCTTGGAGTTTGTTCCAATGGTTTGTCACACTCATCACTAAAAATGTCCATCTAATTTCTAATTGGAATTTGTCTGGCTTTGGTTCCAGCCACTGACTTGTGTTCTGCCTTTCTCTGATCTCATAATGAACCTTTTAGTACCCAGTATTCTCTCCCCTTCAGGGTACTTACACACGGCAATCAAGTCACCTCTCTGCCTTCTTTCTGATAAGCTAAACAGAACGACCTCTTTAAGTCTCTCACTGCTCAGGCATTTCCTCCAGTGCTCGAGGCACACAATGCACAGTCAACCTGTGGAAATCTTTGCCAGGGGATGTTGTGAAGGCCAAGACTATGACAGGGTTCAATAAAGAACTAGAAAAGTTCATAGAGGATAGGTCCATCAGTGGCTATTAGCCAGGATGGGCAGGGATGGTGTCCTTAGCCTCTGTTTGCCAGATGCTGGGAATGGGCAACAGGAGATGGATCACTTGATGATTACCTGGTTCTGTTCATTCCCTCTGGGGCACCTGGCACTGGCCACTGTCGGAAGACAGGACACTGGGCTAGATGGACCTTTGGTCTGACCCATATGGCTGTTCTTATGTTCTTAAGTCATTTTTGTGGCTCTTTTCTGCACCTCCTCCAATTTTTAAACATCCTTTTTCAAATGTGGACACCACAGTTGGAGTCAATCTTCCAGTATTGGTCCCAGCAATCATAGAACCATAGAATCATAGGACTGGAAGGGTCCTCGAGAGGTCATCTAGTTCAGTCCCCTGCACTCAAAACAGGACTAAGTATTATCTAGACCATTCCTGAGAGGTGTTTGTCCAACCTGCTCTTAAAAATCTCCAATGATGGAGATTCCACAACCTCCCCATACAATTTATTCCAGTGCTTAACCACCCTGACAGTTAGAAATTTTTTCTAATGTCCAACCTAAACCTCCGTTGCTGCAATTTAAGCCCATTGCTGCTTGCCCTATCCTCAGAGGTTAATTAAAACAACTTTTCTCCCTCCTGCTTGTAACAACCTTTTATGTACTCGAAAACTGTTATCATGTCCCCTCTCAGTCTTCTCTTCTCCAGACTAAACAAACCCAATTTTTTCAAGCTTCCCTCATAGGTCATGTTTTCTAGACCTTTCATCATTTTTGTTGCTCTTCTCTGGACTTTCTCCAATTTGTCCACATCTTTCCTGAAATGTGGCCCCCTGAACTGGACACAATACTCCAGCTGAGGCCTAATCAACGCAGACTAGAGCAGAAGAACTACTTCTCGTGTCTTGCTTACAACTCTCCTGCTAACACATCCCAGAATGATGTTTCCTTTTTTTCGCAACAGCATTACACTGTTGACTCATATTTCACTTGTGATCCACTCTGACCCCCAGATCCCTTTCCGCAGTACTCCTTCCTAGGCAGTCATTTCCCATTTTGTATGGGTGCAACTGATTGTGCCTTCCTAAGAGGAGTACTTTGCATTTGTCCTTATTGTATTTCATGTCCCTATTTACTCCAGTTTGTCCAAATCATTTTGAATTTTAATCCTATCCTCCAAGCATGTGCAACTCCTCCCATCTTGGTATCGTCCACAAACTTTGTAAGTGTACTATCTATGCCATTATCTAAATCACTGATGAAGATATTGAACAGAACCGGACCCAGAACTGATCCCTGCAGGACCCTACTTGATATGCCCTTCCAGCTTGACTGTGAACCACTGATAACTACTTTCTGGGAATGGTTTTCCAACCAGTTTTGCACCCACCTTATAGTAGCTCCATCTAGGTTGCATTTCCCTAGTTTGTTTATGAGAAGGTCATGAGAGGCAATGTCAAAAGCTTTACTAAAGTCAAGATATACCACGTTTACTGTTTCCTCCCTTAACCATAATGCTTGCTACCCTGTCAAAGAAAGCTCTCAGGTTGGTTTGGCATGATTTGTTCTTGACAAATCCATGCTGACTGTTACTTATTACCTTATTATCTTCTAGACGTTTGCAAATTGATTGCTTAATTATTTGCCCATTATCTTTCTGGGTACAGAAGTTAAGCTGACTGGTCTGTAATTCCCCGGGTTGTCCTTATTTCCCTTTTTATAGATTGGCCCTTTTCCAGTCTTCTGGAATTTTTCCCATCTTCCATGACTTCTCAAAGATAGTCGCTAATGGCTCAGATATCTCCTCAGTCCGCTCCTTGAGTATTCTAGGATGCATTTCATCAGGCCCTGGTGACTGGAAGATATCTAAGTTGTCTAAGTAATATTTAACTTGCTCTTTTCCTATTTTTGCCTCTGATCCTACCTCATTTTCACTGGCATTCATTATGTTAGGCATCCAATCACCACCAACCCTCTTGGTGAAAACTGAAACAAAGAAGTCATTAAGCACCTCTGCCATTTCCACATTTTCTGTTATTATTCCCCACACCCACCCTCATTGAGTAATGGGCCTATCTTGTCCTTGGTCTTCCTCTTGCTTCCAATGTATTTGTAGAAGGTTTTCTTGTTACCCTTTATGTCTCTAGCTAGTTTGATCTCGTTTTGTGCCTTGACCTTTCTAATTTTGTCCTACATACTTCTGTTATTTGTTTATATTCATCCTTTGTCATTTGATCCTTGTTTCCACTTTTTGCAGGACTCTTTTTTTTATTTTTAGATCATTGAAGATCTCCTGGTTAAGCCAGGGTGATCTCTTGCCATACTTACTGTCTTTCCTACACAGTGGGATAGTTTGTTCTTGTGCCCTTAATAATTTCTCTTTGAAGAACGGCCAACTGTCTTCAATTGTTTTTCCCCTTAGACTTACTTCCCATGGGATTTTACCTACCAACTCCCTGAGTTTGCTAAAGTCTGCTTTCTTGAAATCCATTGTCTTTATTTTGCTGTTCTCCCTCCTACCATTCTTTACAGTAATTAACTCTATCATTTCATGATCACTTTCACCCAAGCTGCCTTCCACTTTCAAATTCTCAACCAGTTCATCCCTATTTGTCAAAATCAAATCTAGAACAGCCTCTCCCCTAGTAGCTTTCTCCACCTTCTGAAATAAAAAATTGTCTCCAATGCATTCCAAGAACTTACTGGATAATCTGTGCCCTGTGTTATTTTCCCAAAGATGTCTGAGTGGTTGAAGTGCCCCATCACCAGCAAGTCCTGTGCTTTGAATGATGTCATTAGTTGTTTAAAAAAAGCCTTATCCAACTCTTCTTCCTGGTTTGGTGGTCTGTAGTAGACCCCTACCATGACATCACCCTTGTTTTTTACCCCTTTTGTCTTTACCCAGAGACTTTTAACAAGTCTGTCTCCTATTTCCATCTCAACCTCAGTTCAAGTGTATACATTTTTAATATATAAGGCAACACCTCTTCCCTTTTCCCCCTGCCGGCCCTTCCTGAGCAAGCTGTCCCCTTCTATACCAATATTCCAGTCATGCATATTATCCCACCAAGTCTCTGTGATGCCAACTATGTCATAGTTGTGTTTATTTACCAGCATTTTGAATTCTTCCTGCTTATTCCCCATTCTTCTCACATTAGTACAAAGATATCTCAGATTCTGATTTGATTCCCCCCCTAGTTCTGTCTTGTTTCTCCCTTATCCCTGCTATACCAGCCCATGCTACCCCCAGTTCCAACTCTTCTCCCAGGTATCCATGTTTTTGACTTACCTGTGGGCTTTGGTCACCTGCCCCCTTTGAACCTAGTTTAAAGCCCTCCTCACTAGGTTAGCCAATCTGTAGCCAAATATGCTCTTCCCCTTTCTTGATAGGTGGACCCTATCTCTGCTTAGCAGTCCTTCTTCCTGGAACAGTGTCCCATGGTCAAGGAAGCCAAAGCCCTCCTGGCGACACCATCCTCGCAGCCAGGCATTCACCTCCAGGATGCATCTGTCTCTGCCCGGGCCCCTACCCTTGACCAGAAGGATCGAAGAGAACACCATCTGCACTCCCAACTCCTTCCCCCTTACTCCCAGAGCCCTATAGCCATTTCTGATCTGCTCAGGGTCATACCTCGCAGTATCATTAGTGCCCAAATGGATGAGTAGCATGAGGTAGTAGTCAGAGGGCCGGATGATCCTTAACAATCCCTCCATAACGTCTTGGATATGGGCAGTTGACAGACAGCATACCTCCCAGGATGCCATGTGAGGGCAACAGATGGGTGCCTCCATCCCCCTCAGAAGACAGTCACCAACCACCACCACCCTAATTTTCCTCCTGGGAGTGGTGGCTGTGATCCTCCCAGCCGCGGGGGTACATGGCTTCTCCTCCTCCTCTGGGGGTGATTCCTCATCGCTCGTTGCCAGGGCAGCATATTGGTTTTCCGATACCATGGTGGGTGGGTTGGGAGCAGAGGTGGAGCACAGCCTGCTGCCAGAAGTCACCAGAGCCAGTGTCCTCCCTGTGACAGAGCCATGTCCTCTCCCCGGGTGATGTGACAGCAGTCCTCTGTAGCTGGGTAGCCTCCTCAGCCTTGGATGTCTCCATGTGAATACTCTTGAGGAATTCCTCCTGCGCACGGATGCTCCTCAGCCTAGCCACCTCCTCCTGTAGCTCGCCCACCTGCTTCCTGAGAGATTCCACCAGCAGGCACCTTTCACACCAGATGGTCCCCCCAGCCTGGCTTTCTGAGAGTGGGAAATGCAGGCCACAGTCTCTGCAAATCCACACCAAGATTTGGGTAGAGGCCTCCATGGTCAGGTTCTCTGACTGGATGCAGGTGCAGGTGGAGGAGACAGGAGCAGCGTTGTCACTGGCGATGCGGCCCTTCCTAACCATAGCGACTATATTATGACTCCCTTTTACCAATCCCCTCTCAAACTCCCCTGTTTGCTAGCTCTCCTTGGTCACCTAGCCTCTGGCTTTTAAGGCCTTCTCTTCTCCGTCAGCCCTACCCCCTCGTTAATCACACAGGGGTAGGATGATCATAAGGCTGATTGAGGCTGATTAAAGACGATCAAGGATGATCCAGGGAACAAAGGCGCAAACAGTCCCCAGACCCACAATCCCAAATGACCCAGTATCTGAAATAACTGAAAATAACTGAGATAACCTGAAAGAGAAAGAAAGAAAGAAAAACACAAACAGCCAAACAAACTCACTCACCCCGAAGTTAGTACTCGCACCTTGTTCATTCAGCAGGGGAATCTCCTTCTCCCCCTCTCAAACTGCCCTGTTTGCTGTCCCCTGTTTGCTCTGTCATGTACAGAGGTAAAATCACCTCCTAACGCCTGCACTCCCCTGCTTCTACAGCCAAAGGGTCTCGTTAGCCATTTCTGTTACATCGGGAGCTCATGCTCAGTTGCTTGCCCACTATGAAGCCTAGCTCCGCTTCACAGTCTCCACTTTCCAGGAGACTGTCCCCTATTCTACAGGACCAGCCTGCAGCCGCTAGACCCAAGTGGATAACTTTTCGTTGGCTGTATTAAAACCTATTTTGTATGTTACAGAACATCTTACGAAGCAATCTAGATAGTTCTGTTTGACAGCCCTGCCCTCATCATTAGATGCCACTCCTCCAACCTTTGTGTCATCCACAAATTTTATCAGCAATTATTTAGTATTCACTTCCAGAGCAGTGATGAAAAAAGTCGAAAACTGCCATGCCTAGTACTGATCCATGCAGAACCTCACTAGAACCACCCTCATTCACTGATTATTTCCTCTTAACAACTACTTGTTGAGGCCTATGAATTAGGCAGTTAATAATCCATTTGACATGTGCTCTATTGATATTGTATAATGCTAACTGTATAGTGATAATGCAAATGTTTTTAGTCACCATGTTGTGGGGTACTAAGTTGAAAGTCTATGTATGTCACATCTGCGCAGACCCGTTTATCCACCAAACATCGTCTCCCTCCTGCCTGAGCTCGAGTGTCCAATGACCTATTACAAACAGGCTGGCAGGTGCCTGAACACTAAAGCAGGCGTAGGTGTGTTGGGAACAGGACACGCAGACCCTAGAAGGTGCTGGGTTACTGGGGCATGATAGCATAGACTAGCGTGAGTGATGCAAAGCAGCTGTTCTGAGCAAGCAACAGTGCACAGACACAAAGGCCAAAGGTAAATGATCTCTCCTCTCTACAATGCTGTACTAAGATTTACGATTTTGGTAGAATTAGCCATGCGTGTGAGAACAATGTAACTTTCCTCACGAATATTTATTGCAATCCCCAAAGTGTTTTCATAGTGGCCACTTATGAGCGTTCTGTATTGTGCAGTTTATTTGCATTAGGGATGGGGAACATTCTTCATGCAAACACCTGGGCTCATCTGACAAGCAGGATTGTCATGCATGAACAAGAGTATTTGTTATTTGTTGCTCGGCACACCTGACCTTCCTGCTGGAAAAGTTTTAGCCAACTAATCAGGGAGCAACAAACGTACTTACATCTGACTTAGATGATCAATGAGCCATCATGAATTAGGAATAGGGAATGACCATTCACTGTACTGGTTTTTAGAGTCAGTGACCATTTCAACAGGGATTTCATAATCCAAGTGGAGAACCCAACCTCTTGTCTATATATATGAGATCTCCTCCCTTGGGCTGCATTGAGAGAGCATCTGCAGAGCTCAGCACTAACAGACTCCAGCAGACCCACGAACCACTTCCACCATGAAGACAGCAGCTGTTGTTGTGTTCCTCGCTATGGGGCTCTTCTCCAGCTTTCAGGGTAAGTAACTTTTGCTGCAGCCTGTACAGAGCTCTGTGTCTGACCCTCTAACCTTCAGCATGGGCTCGACTGTTAAAAACCAGCTCGGCACCAGCTACGGACATTTGGGTGTCAAGAATAAGCAGGGGAAGTGGTTCATGGCAGAAACAGCAATTTCCTTTGGAAAGATGTTACTGAGGAGCCATTATGGGCCTTTACCCAAACCCCAATCTGGGCACTGCAAACAGTCGCACCTGCAGTTAATCATGGGCAATGATGACAGTATTTATGGGTCTGAGCGTGAGTGCATTTGTCTACATGCTTCTATCAGACATTCCTTTGTGGTTTTCTAGCCTGATTGTAAATCTCCATTCCCACTGGGGGCTGATTCTCATCTCACACACACTGCTGTCTAACCTGCTTGTGAGGGTCATGGAGTTACATTACCATACAGCTGGGGTTAGTGTAGGGAACCTTCCCATGGTCACATTTGACAATGAGGAAGCTGCATGCATTGTCCTACAGAGATTAATGTTCTTAAGTGACTTTCCTGCCAGCATTTCCCTTCATTGTGTCATTTGTGTCTGTGTTTTTGTTCCAGATGCTACTGCTAACAATGGTAAGGTGAGTCCAACTCTCACTGTTAACTAATTATTCACTTCCCCTGATCCCTGGTTTGGAACATCAAGGAGCCCATGACCTCTGCATTAGAAGCATGCTAGGACTCAGGAGTAAATTGGGAGCAGGCTTGACCCTGCGCCCTAGTGAAGGGGAGAGTGAATCCCTGGGGCTGAGACTCCATGTGGTCAGAGTGATAGATTCCATCTTTACTGGACAGGACACCTTCTGTGATGGGCCTGCGGGAGGCACTGGGAGCAACTCAGAGACAGAACAGGGAGGGGCCGATATCACAAGGGCACAAGGATTTTTATATTTGAGCATCAGCTGCCTGCGCAGATGCCCCTTCCCTCACACACCTTGTGATGCGGGTTCGGAGGAGTCTCATGGACCAGGGAGACGGGCTGTGTCGTTGCCCTTTCTTAGCTCCTGCTGGCAGCAAGAGGGGAATTGGGAAATCAGTTCATCAGAACCTCTGTAGGAAGAGCTGAGGGGCAGGTTAGATAATGTGAGTTCTGGGAGGCAGGAACTGTCCCTTCTGTGTTCATAGCACACCCAGCACCATGGGACGCCAGCAGGGCCCTCATGTAATACAGAGAATGGCATTAGTAATAATAATAATTAATAATAACAGCAGCCACAGGGTTTCTGCAGTGAGTACCAGAAGCCACCTTCTGTCTGCAGCAAGGAGCTCCACCCGATCTGTGGCACTGATGGCAAAACATACAGCAACAAATGCTTCTTTTGCAAAGCAGTCTGGTGAGTACAGGAATAAATGACCCATTCATAAAAATGAAAACACAATTGTCATGTAACTCTAGCCCCTGCTGGCGCCTGTCTGTCTTTACCTCCTACAGGCAGGGTCAACTTCCTCCGTCTAATTTTTCCTGTCAGCGAATAAGCTCTGGTTAATTTGACATAATGGGGCCTTGACAGAAGCTTTGCCCTTGTTTCCCAACCAGTTACAGCCCTGAGTTCTGTGTGTTGGTTTTTCCTTCTAGGGAAAACCTTGGAAGTCTTTGCTTTAAGAAAGAAGGAGAATGCTGAATCCTCAATGGGGCTGAGGTGGAGCTGGACCCTTTTTGCTTTTAGTTTCCATCAGTAGATCCCCACATGGAGACACGGTCTCTGCTCCTCCTCCATTTCGAGGGCTCCTGCCACCATCGCTGACTCTACAGCTGCTGTTCAATAAAGTAAACTCAGCCAAATTCTTTACTTCTGTGATTTTTAACCCTCCCACCCCCACCCAATCAGCTACCCACATTCCTCCCAAGCCTGCCCAGACCCAGGACCTGCAGAGGCTGTCCATCTCCTCGTTGGTGCACAGGAGACCACAGAGACCCTCAAGCCAGGGTCTGCGGTGCCCTTATGCCCCTATGCAGCAGACCAACAAACTGCCAACCTTGCTTGGTCCTCAGCAGAAGTATCAGCTGCCTCAGTTTGGGGCTGCACTGGGGGGGAGTATCCCTCTGCCCCCAACCTCTGAACACAGTGCCCCTGGCTGTCTATTGATGCCACATCACCACTTCCCCTCCCGCCAGGCCAAAACTGGCTGTCCAAACGAGAGTTACACACCAACGGGCAAGGTGCCTGGACTTGAAAGCAGCTGGCACAGCTGTAGGAACTGGGCAGCTGGTTACTTGGGTATGATGGCAAAGATGACTGGGGTGCCAGGTGGCTGTTGTGAGGACGCAAAGGAGCTCTCGACCCGTATGACTGAACGTAAACAATCTCGCCGCCTCTACCGTGGTGCAGTACAGTGTCCAAAGCTTGGTTCTGAGTGATTTCAGACATACGCTTCCAACATCAGAGCCTGTTCTTAGCCATTTCCTGCCCAGACTAAAAATGCTTCAATTCATCAGATCATTTTATTTCGCAACTACTAATTTGACCAGCTCAAGCTGGGAGCCAAGTTTTTTGGGTTTTTTGGGGGGGAGGGGACGGGGACGGGACACAATCCATTTAACTAATAAAGTTGGACCAATTCTTCATCAGGCTTCTAGCTTGTACGTTGTAGCCCCATTTCCTACCCTTCATCTCTTTGTTTCTTTAGACTGTAAACCTTCCAGGACAGGGACTGACTCCTTTCTGTGTCTGGTTGGACCCAGCACAATGTGGGCCTGGGGCCCTGATCCCCCAGCCTTTATGGGAGCCTTTGGGGGAGAAGGAGAAGAAGAAATTTACATGCTGGCTAATTGTGTCTGCTGCATAGAAACTGACACCTGGGAAGAAGGCCTTGCAATTCCTATTGGGATCATAGGCCAAATATTGGCTGGGATTGAGGATCGGTTTGTCCCTGTGTGTACTAAGCCATTCAGCTAGGGCACACATTTAACTAGTGCTTCTTCTGATTGGATGCAGCTCTTGCCAAGCCAGTTTGCGGCAGCCCCATCAGCAACATGCAGAGCCCCTCAGACCAGCATCAAATCTGGTCGGGGGCAGTCATCACAGATGTATGGCATTGTCTGCCTTTGGCCTCAGCCACATGTGGGGTCCTCCTGGTGGCCCCAGGTGTGAAGGGCCGGCTGCACATTGACCCTGGTTCACTTGACTAGGTTCAGAAGGACCCAAGAGTGGCATGGCAAATCAAAGCTAGGTCCACGCGTGGTGGGGTCAGCTATAAAAGACTGGTTTCTGACCTCAGCTGCAAGTCATTCTTCACACCACATCGACAGCACAGAGACATTTGGTGCCAGGGGCCCCACAAAGGCTGACTCAAAGCAAGTGCCCTTGTGTACAGGGGTAGGCTTGAGTTTGCCCCAATCTTCTCAACAATCCTGGCTGTAGCAACCTCCCGGCAGACATGTGGAGGAGTGATGTTGCTTAACACAGGGAGCCACGGTACTGGTGTGGGTCGAATCATCCCAGTTATGATGTACATGGTTGAGTGTAGTTGTGTGCTAACCAACCTGACGTGAGATGAATGGAGCCAGACCAGAGCACAGAATTCTGCTGCAGAGTAACAGAGGGCTAAACCTAGGGTGACCAGACAGCAAATGTGAAAACAGTGGTGGGACAGGGGGTGGGAGGTAATAGGAGCCTATATAAGAAAAAGACCCAAAAATCGGGACTGTCCCTATAAAATCGGGACATCTGGTCACCCTAGCCATATGATTGGAGAGTCTGTGCCTTTGCTTCTCCTGCAGTGCTAGCCCATGTGCTTAGAAGGTTGTTACATGGTTAAGACATGTGAAGGATCTATCTAGGATTATGCCAAGGTAGACTGGGTGGGATTTGTGTTTCAAGCGATGCCCATTGAGACAGCAATTCAGTTCTTGGCCTGCTCTGGCGTTATAAAGTTGGAACACACTCAGAACGGTCTTGGTGGTAACTGCCACCGACTGTAGTATTTGGCCATCTTCATCAAGTCAGTGTTTAGGGTTTGTCCCTTTTTGTACTAAGCCATTCAAGCTAGAACACAAATTGAAATCCAGCCCACATTGACAATGTCCTTCCATTGGAGGACTTGTAGCTATGTAACAGGAGCCCAGCTTCCCAAGTGGACATTAACGCCTTTCATTCAAACTGGATAAGTGGTAGAATGTCGTGTGAACTCAGGGTGCCATGGGGAGACTGGCCCTTTAAGGGGAATCAGGGCCCAATCTGCCCTTGATCGCCTGCTGAATGCTGACCTGGGGGTAACTGACTGCTAAATGAGCCCTGGGACCTAATAAAAAGGTTACCTGAGCTTAGCTAAGGAGGGCAGGTCCCTCAGAGACAGAATGATCCTGAGGAGAGGAGCTCCCAGATCACCAGATTTCTCTGGAGACAGGGAACTGTCTGGAGACCCCACCAGAACAGGGAGTCTAGGAGATGTTCTTGGAGGCAGGAGATTCCCAAGGGAGAGCTGCAAAAAGCAGACAGCCAGGGAGGCCTGGGTCTCAGCAAAGGGAACTCCCAAACCATGGCAGGAAGCTACTGCCAGGGATAAGGGGCTTCTGGAGAGAAGGGGCTTACAGAGAGAAAGCTGCAGAGAGAAAGTGCTCCCAGGGAAGGGACAGGAGCAGCTCCGGAGAACGAACTGGGCATGGGGCCTTCCCGGTTGGTATGAGGGACTTAGCAAAGAATGACACAGTTGAGCTTCTCGGTACTTCCACGGCTCATTGCAGCTCGGAAAGACATTAGCCTAACAACAGTTGTTCTGTAGAACGCACAGGGCATCAGCATCACAGTGTTGCCTTGAAACCCTGGGGATGGCGCATTTTACTTGCATTCTGTGGGTGGCTGGGTGGACAGAGGGATGGATAGACAGAGGTTAAAACCAGGGGGAAGAATGGTTCTGTGGGGAAAGCACAGGACTGAGAGATAGGAAAACAGGCCAGAAGATTTCTACTCCCTTCATCTGTAAAATGGGGATAATATCAACATACCTCAGGGTGCTTTGGTGAAGCTGACTGCTTTGTGCTGTATCCGGGCAAAGTACCAGCTTTACTAAAAGTGATGATAATACATGTGTGTAATTATTCTTGCAGGTCGATTGTACCAGGTACCCTCAAGCAAAGGAGCAAGGGCCTTTTTTCTGTATGAAGGTGTGGCACAAATGATATGACATATGGCAACAAGTGCCTCTTGTGCTCAGCAATCTGGTGAGTTATTTGGACCTGGGGCTTCCTTTTTATGATATATGTGTACAGCACCTAGCGCAATCAGATCCCAGAATGCATCAGGAGGGTGCTCATGGAGGCATGGGATGAAAGAAATCAGTTCAGACTAGAATAATGGGCAAATTATACCATCCTGGTATAGCAGACAAGAGAAAAATGGGTACAATTGTTCCATTATAGTTATATTCTGCAATAGTTTTAATCTCTCCTTCTCTCTCCCAGGGAAACTGGAATCAACACTGGCATGAAGCATAAAGGCAAATGTGGGGAAAAGGTAAATCCAGGCATATCATAATTTATATGTTTATATGGCATTCAATCCCACAGGCTTTACAAACTACAGTGCCCTGTGGAATGCAGCCATCACCGGGGTGGAAAGCAGGGGTCCACTTGGGTGTACAGAGGTGGGAGAAGTAATATTACCCCATGGAAAAGTCCTGTTCCTACAAAACCTGCCAGGGGATCTTTAACCCTCACACAGAGGAAACCGGACCTTGGTTTACAGACAAGGAAATTGCAGGGGACTGAACACATCGACCATGCAAGAATGAAGAGCTGAGCTGACTCTGGTAGGATTTGATCCTGCGATTCAGGGTGTCTCAGACATTCAGCAAGGACCTCTAAGCAGAGCTGGTTGGACATTTTCCATCAGAACACACTGATTCAACAGAGTCTAAATGTTCTGTGGGAATGCCCCGGCCGGCTGCCTGAGCTGGGGGGCGGACAGGCTCTCTAGGCCACCAAGCTCCCTAGCCAGCCAGCCTGGAAAGTTTGAAAAAATTCCCTTCCAAAACTGAATGTTTTGAAATTTTCCCTTCTGCAGAAAACTTCCCATTTCCAGCTGTTCGTTCCGATTTGGAACAAATTCAGGGTGGGGGGTGGGGGGGGCGTGAACTTTTGCAGGCCAGAAATTCCAGTTCCCACAAGCTCTAAAACGACACCCTCCGCTCCACTGAAAAGAGCTCTGCACTCAAAATCCTCGTGCAACTACTTGGTATGGCTCATAGTTACGTAGATATCACTTGGGGGTCCCCCCACGGCTAGTGCCAAATCTTAGGCTCCTTTTATTGTGGGCTAAGGCTCAATAGCCACACATGACGCAAAGCTTCTGCTCTTGGCCTCACAGGGCAGGGACATTTTGAGCTACAGGTCCCGCTTTGGTTTTGTCATTGGTGGAAATGGCAACAGGTCTGCAGCCAAAACGTTCTCTGCTCACTTACCAGAGCTGTTGGTCGAGTCAAGTCAGTTGCCCCTGAACACAGACAGACACCAGCAGAAAGAGAAGGCAGGAGAAGGGGGAGAGAACAGGTGCCCTCTGCTTACTAGAATACGCTATAGAGGGGAAAACCACTAGCAATAACAACCTCGTTGAATGAGTTTGGAGCATTGTGCAACCGTGTTTTCAGGTTGACTGCAGTAGGTATCCACAAGCAAAGAAGCGTG